AGTGCAATCTGCACAAAATAGTGCTTGCAGCATTTTTGCAGATCGCACTGGACGGGAACGCATGCACTAATGTGTCACACGTTTGGGTGCCGGAGATCACACTGCGGGCGAGGGGCGTGGCTGCGGTGCCATTGAGTTCAATGCACCACCACCCTCCTCCCGCCCCAAAACAAAGTGACCCGGCCGGGTTGCCGGGTCATTCCAGAGGCCGAACGCACACCTTATGGTGGGACTGGGCTCTTGGGGCTTGTTCACACCAATTACGGTGCTTTCCAGAACGGTAGCTGCTGGAACGCACCGCAATCGCTTACAAAACTTCCCTGTGTGTTCTGGGGCGGGAGGGGGCATGGTGGTGCATTGAAGTCAATGGCACTGCAGCCACGTCTCCCCTCCCGTAGTGTGATCGGACGCATGGCAAAACATTGCCTGCATTCTGTTCAACTGCAAACGTAAAAAGTGCTGCATGCTCTATTTTTTTGCTTTTGCAGTGGAACGGAACGCAGGCAATGTTTTGCCATGCGATTGTCGCACTGCAGCCGGGGGGGCGCGGAAGCAGTGCTATTGAATTCAATGCACCACCATGCCCCCTCCCGCCCCAGAACGCACAGGGAAGTTTTGTAAGCGATTGCGGTGCATTCCAGCAGCTACCGCTCTGGAACGCATTGCAATTTGTGTGAACAAGCCCTTAGACACTGTGAATTTCTTCTCTTTTTTTTACCCTGTATTTTTTATATAATGTACAAAGTGCAAAAAGAAAAAAGAAAAAAAAACTTCAGAAAAAAAAAAAAGAAGAAGGGTGCTTCACTGACCTGGACTCCATGCAGGCACTGCTCCTGATCAAGGGGTCAGCTCCCGGTTTCCCACTGCCTATATCTGCCTCATCCTTGCCCTCCTACGATGTCACCGCTGGCTGCTGCAGGAACGGAAGCCTCTGCATCCTCACGATACGCCGGGCGGGCTCTCTCCTCTGCAGGAAAGGATGAAGTGAAGTTGCGGAAGTAGTTCCGTCAGTACCAGAGGGAGAAGCCGCGTCTGAAGTCCCGCCGCGCAGCTTCTCCCTCTCTCTTCAGACAGATCCAGGAAGGGGGAGGGGGGTTGCGTTGCGGAGGCTGCGGGGGAATTGCCGGCGCACATTCTCCCCGTGAGGAAATGGCTGCTTCTTCCCGGCCCCGGGGCGGACTTGCCAGAGGCAGGTTAGTTGAAGCTTTAGAGGCGAGCTAGGCGGCCGCGAGGCCCTCATGAGCGCGAGGCCTTAGGCGACCGCCTAACTCGCCTTATTAGAGAGCCGCCTCCGTTCAGACCCATGCGGATGCATTAAACTGAAAAACACATCTGATTGGCCAGAAAAGTCACATGTCCGATTCAGTTTAGTTTTTGAACGAAATTCGGACGGGATATGAAATTCAGAAACGGAAATTCGGATTCGGAGCAAATTCGTATGCATTGGGATTTGGAAATTCGTATGTGTCTGAATGTTTCCGAAACGGAAATTCGGATTCGGAGTAAATTATTATGCATTAGACACATACGGACACACACGAATTTGCTCCGAATCCGAATTTCCGTTTCTGATTTCATATCCCGTCCGAATTTCGTTCGTAAAATTCGTCCGAATTTTGATTCGGAACGAAACGACTCGCACATGTCTTGTCTTTGGTGTGTGTGGGAGGAAAACCCATGCAAACTCATTAGTGCTCATTAGCTGGTGGTGGTCCCCGATGCAGACACGCCCACTCTCAGCCTAATTCCTGGAGTGCGGAGAATTATGGGCAGCTAATAAAGACATATTTTGGATAATAATGGGAAACATATTTAAAAATAAAAGTCATTCTTAAACGACTTGATATATGGACTATGGAGTAGATTTGTGTATTCTCCTGGAGCTCCACATTAAAGGAAAACAATTGATCAATTCTATTATTTTTGTTCTTGAAGTTTATGTTTTTCAACAAATTTCTATACCTGTCTTCACTGTCTATACACAATAAATATATGTTACATAAAAACAAGTTTTGTACATGAAAAGGAATCCCAGAGCGCTGTGGTTTAGCTAAAAAGGCAGCACAGAAGCAGCCTGCTTTCAAGCTCTAGTTGTCTAATTGAAACCTTAATAACTGCTAATCAGTCACCCATTTGTGTGTGTACATTTCCTCAGGAATGGAACTCTGGGAGTAACCAGCTATTAATGACAATAACTGTAAAGAAGAAAACAAGAGTGAAAAGTGGAGCTGTTGACTATGGTGGCCAATGAGATTCCTTATTACATTCATACATAAAATACGAAGTCTGATTGGTGGCTGGAGGCTGCAGCACTTCTGTCTGCATCATAATTAGCAAAGACAGCGGTCACTCACAGAACTGAGAATCCAATGTGTATGGAATGTTAACAAGGCCGTCGGCAGATTTAGGCCAAAAACAGTTCCCATTGGGACATCCCATAGCGCTGCGTCCTTCCTTAGTTTTAATATCACCCTGGCGCAGTGGTCTTCCGCTCCCTGGACACAAAAACACAATACAGAGATAAAATACATGTAATAAACCTGTTTTACTCCCCAAAGGATTTGTATTTTCTGCCCATCCAGTCCTAAGATTTACACAGCACTGCAACACAGTACAGTCCTGTCTGGCAGGGGGAGGGGAGTCCCTGCCGCAGTTTAACTCCCACTTACAGGTCTTTGCCCCTGGTACTAGATGGTGATATGAGACGCAGCGCAGTGATGAACTAATTTCTCTGTTACTCTGCTCTATCCTCCTATCAGCCTGCTCATTGCACTGCAGCAGAGCTGATTGGCTCCTTGTGCTGATTTTCCCTTCCCCTCTCTGACCCCTGCTGTACAAAATGCACAGTGGATTGCAAGAGGCTGATACCAAGTCAGGTACTTACACTACTTGCACTAAAATAATAATACAAATTATTATTATTTAAAATATCAAATGATGTATTGCTAGTATTTTTAATAATAATAAAAACAACAACAGCATAATTGATTATTTATTATTGATTATTAATGTCTCTGCCTTTTGCCTATTCTCTACCCCCTCCCCCCCAGGCCAACTCCCCCACCACTGTTGGAACCCTTAGAATTACCCAATTCTTTCAGGTATGTAGGAGCATGTGACCTGCTTCCCTTGCTCCCAGGATGTAGTGCCTAGGTGGCCAATGGTGGTGGCCTGATGTAGGGGAAGGGGAGAACATCATTGACCCTGTGTAAGCTCTGCCACAGACCAACATGGATCCTACACGGGGATTAGACTCAGCACCCCCACAGATAAATGGGATCATTAGGAGAGCTTTCATGAGGTAAGTATCAGTAGGTGTATTATCAAGAGAACCTGTCACTTTGCCTATTCATTGCTGAAATCAAATTGTAGGTCCTGCTGCTCTGCATGCGTATGCCTGGAAATTCTAGTCCGTAGGCCACATGAGGCACAGTCTTGTATGCATTAAAAAAGCTCTCATACCTCTCCCTACGGACCAGAGCAAATTTTTACATTTCTTCTATGAGCAGATGTTGATTTGGCAATAACTTTGTCATTACCTAACGCAGAACTCTGGGGGCTCCGTTCACTCAGCAATAGCAATTGTTACTTTATCAAAAAGGACATTCAAGTCTCTTCATTCGTAGCTTAAAGCAGAACTTCAGGTGTACATTCTTAACCCTTGCAGTGGGGTTACCTCTGCACTGCAAGGGTTAAGTGCTTGTTTTTGTCTAGGGAGGTGAAATAAAAAAGTTACACTCATGCAATCCTGACTTGCCCTCAGACCTCTCCTCCTCAGGTCCTGTGAGTCATCACGTTCTATACAGTGTATAGTCATGAGGACGCCAAGGGACAGTTTGTGTGAGTATAACTTTTTATATTTTATATTTTATATTTTACCTCAATAGATCATTTAATTTTTTTATTCAAACCACAGACACATAAAAAAGTAAAAAAACTAAAACAAATGCACTTTTCCTACTTCTATCAGTGTTAGTTTAAAATATTTTTTTTTTACTTTAGGTAAAAAGGTATACATTTTTAAAAATCTTTTGTCCTGTTTAAAATCGCAATAAAATTATGATTTGGGTTTAAAGCAATGCACTGTTATTTACAAATAAAATAAAGGCTTTTTTTTTCAATTTGGCACTTTAAAAAAAAAAAAATATTAAATACAAATTTAACATTAAAAGAATTAACATTAAAATGGATAAAAACACTAATACAATTAAATGTTAATGGTTAGAGAAATAGAAATAAAAAATAAAAAAAATCAGGAAAATAATAGCTAAGGGGTAAAGAGGAAAAAGGAGTTAATTAGGCTGATTAGGGTAAACTAAGGGTTACTTAGGGGTTAAATAGTAACAATCAAAATGGATAAAAAAAGAAAAAGTTTAAAAGTTAATGGTTAGAAAAAAGAAACGTAAAAAAAAAAATCCGGAAAATGATAGCCAAGGGGAAAAGGGAAAGAAGGAGTTAGTGAGGCTAATTAGGGTAATCTAAGGCTGGGTTCACACCTAGGCGTATCGAATATACGTGTTTTTAGCACGATTCGCGGTAAAAAACTCGCGACAAACGCGCATTTCTGAGGGCTTTTTGGCTGTATCCCAATGGAAACGCAAGATAAAAACGCCCCAAAGAAGCTCCTGTACTTCTTTGGGCGTAGGGCGTTTTGTAGCGCATTCATACGGCCTGTAATACGCCCAAGTGTGAACCATACCCATAGGAAATAATGGGATTTCGGTGTTTGAGCGTTTTGCAGAGCGTTCGAACGCGCTACAAAACGACCCGGTGTGAACCGGGCCTAAGGGTTACTTAGGGGTTAAATAGTAACAATCAAAATGGATAAAAACAGAATAGGTTAAAATGTTATGGTTATAAACATAGATTAATTAAAAAAAAATAATATCCAAGGGGAAAAGGGAAAGAAGGAGTTAATTAGGCTGATTAGGGTAAACTAAGGATTAATTACGGGTTAAAGTAGTAACAATCAAGCCGCATAAAACCGAAGAAGTTAAAACTTAATGGTTATAAAAAAAGAAATGTAAAAAATCAGGAAAATAATATTCAATGGGAGAAGGGAAAGGAGTTTATTAGGCTGATAAGGGTAAACGAAGGGTTAATCAGGGGTTAAATAGTAACACATTTTATTAACAAAAATTATATTTAATATATTTTTTGTTATGTATATATATATATAAAACAAATTTTTTTTTTAAAAACAATCAGGTTTCTTTAAGTGATTATTAAGTGCAGTTTGAAGCACATCGGTTTGATCTGCTGTTAAATGAAACGGAGTGGATACAAAATGAACAACGTTACTTTGTATCTATCTTGCGTCTGAACAACGTGTATTAACACTGTATCAGACGGTCCATTTTTTGACAGCAGCGGCTTCTGTATTTACACAGCAACTCCCGGCTGTTGTTTTGAGAGCTTGAAATTGCTGGCAAGGGCGCAGAGGAGGGAGACGCGGTGGGGCAGAAGGGCAGGACATATTACACCCCCTGTGTACTTCAATGAGTTATATTTGGCCCGGTGTTCACAACCGGTTAATGACGTATTATTGATTACAGAGGAGCTGCGTTCATTTATTTGTCTGCTATCAGTTCTAATCTCCGGCACCCATCTGTATTCTTCCTGCATTCTCAATAATATAAAATAAGGGAGAAATTCCACAGGGACGTGAGATGATCGCATAAGAGGAAGCTGTACTATTTAAAAGCTATGTAATTCTAGAAAGTTACACGCCGTTCTTCACTTATTACCTATTTTCATCTTCTCTATGGCGTTCCGAACATCTTCAGAAGGAGGTCTTGTTGTTGGTTCTGGAGCTGGATGGCAGAAAAGCAAAAAAATATATGATATAACAATGATGAATGTTATAATGTTGTTGGATTCCTTCATTTCACATTAATCTGCCACTTTGTCCAATCTGCCCCCCCAACCCACACCCTGATACCTTCTCCATGCTCCCCTACTGCTCCTCACCTGTCAGAGTGCTCAGAATTTACCAGTACTTCCAGGTATGGGGGAACTTGTGACCTTGACACCCTTTCCTGACACCCCCAAACCCGCACACCGATACCTTCTCTATGCTCCCCCACTGCTCCTCACCTGTCAGAGCGCTCAGAGTTATGCAGTGCTTTCAGGTATGGGGGAAATGTTGATGAAGGTCCATTCCTGACCCCCCCAACCCACACACTGATACCTTCTCTATGCTTCCCCCTGCTCCTCACCTGTCAGAGCCCTCTGAATTACCCAGCACTTCAAGGTATGGGGGAACTTGTGACCTTGATGCCCATTCCTGAC